CCCCCCCCCCCAATTCAAAGTGGTTATTCAGAACAGACCTACTGAAATAAAAAGGTCTTTACTCTTGAAAATCTGAGTGGGATTCTGAGTAATCCTTGTGGCCATGATGAATATCTGCCTATCACCACACCACATGATCCCTCCAAAAATACCATATTGAAATACAGTATATGGAACCACAGAAGAGATTTACCATGAAGTCTGGCGAGCTGGTTCTACAGACTTACTGATGAACTGTATCAAAGCTGCTGAAATATTTTAGTGCTCACTGCAAAATTATAGTTTGCTAAGAAGAAGCAATGTAGTTCAATATCTTCTTCAAAGGATAATGGGCTCTCCTGATACTACAGTGTATATCCCTCAAGTTTCAGAAGCCAGAAAAAGCCTTGAGCCTAATTTAAGCAATCCATAGTACAATGAGAAGGATCCAGATATTGTTCTCTCTAGCCAAGGATTCTAAATATGGCTCTATGAAATGCAAATCCCAGGATTCTCTAAGATGGAGCCATGACAGTTAAAATGGGGTCATAATGCTACAACTGAGTAGCATGAAAGGCTCCCAAAGCACATGGTCAATATTTGAACAGTGATATCCAAAGATGACATGTGGCAAAGGAGCAGGAGAATGGTTTCTGTTCAGGCTAAGAGCAATTAGAACATATTTTTGCAATGGAGTACTTTAAAGCAAAACTGGGACAAGGATCTGCTGTGGTCAATGCAAATGATGCAATCAAACATTGTCTTGTTACCACCTCACTGCTCACAAGAAAAAAAAAAGGATTGTTTCATTTCGTCAAATCCTCATTAGGCTAGGATCTGACATTGCCACATTCACAGGCTCCCCTCCTCAGATCATTTCTTGTTGTTGTTGTGTGCTTTCAAGTAATTTTTGATTTATGGTGAACCCAAGGTGACTCTATCATGAGGTTTTCTTGGTAAGATTTGTTCAAAGAAGGTTTGCCATTGCCTACCCCTGAAGCTGAGAGTGTGTGAGTTGCCCAAGGTCACCCAATGGGTTCTACAGCCAAACTGGAAATCAAACCTTGCTCTCTAGAGTTGTAGTCTAATGCTCAAACCACTATGCCATGCTGGCTCTTCTTCAGATGACTGTCAGATGATTACACAGCCAGAACTTCAGAATGGTGAAACTAACAGAATAGGAATTCGAATCATGTGACTTGGAGGCTGCATTCTACCCCTGGAGGGTTTCCAATGCAACCCTTAGTCCTCCACTGACTCCTGAAGACCCACTATCTATCCCCTCAATATTTTGTTGCATTCCCCCATATTTACTTAAAACACTTCCAAAATGCTGGCTGTTTCAGGAGGTCTCCTACACACCAAAACTGAAAGACCCTCCACCCCAAACAAACCAAATGGCAACCAGGGATGATGTGAGATCCTATCCAGTCACCCAAAATGGCAGCTGCAATGGCACACTGTAGCCCAGTGGTCGGCAACCTATGGTCTGCGGGCTGCACTCGG